GCCCGAGACTGTTCAACACGCTTCCACTACACATAAGGGGCATAACTGGCCGACCCCTCACAGTGTTCAAGAGAGAACTTGACAAACGCCTCCAAATGATACTTGATCAACCAGGCTGTGAATCATTCGTCAGGCTGCGAGCAACCGCGTCCAACAGCCTGGTTGACCAGTCCAGCAACGAGGCCTGGTCGACGACCGGGCCGCGGGGACGCTAAGCCCAGAAATCATTTCAAGGTAACCTCAAGGTAACGGCGTTAAGCGTACGTTGAGGAGAAGCGTTGTAAAGATATGAAATCGGTTTTGTTTGAGACCAGACTACCGGGAAATCGATCCTCGAAACTAGCGGAAGGTAACCTCAAGGTAGACCAATCAGTCACATACCTAAACATAAATTATATTGGTCATGCTGGGTCGCTGTAGACATCTGGAGACTTGGCACCGTTGTATTGGTTTAACGGTCGCCAACTCCCAAGTACAATCTTTATCGTATTTTGTTTGAATTTTTCCCCGAAGGGCGAGTTTATTGGGCAGCGTCGCCTAGCACTTAGTGTGGCAGCTAGAGGCTTGGGGCCCGCGCAGGAATATCCCTGACAACAACAAACTCATCCTGTGAGCGAACATGCTTTTATAGGAGCATATTCAACACCCCTAATATGAAGGTCACCCGCTGAGGTGTTAATCCTGTCACCCAGACGCAGTTGGGGCTGTCTTAAGTGAAGAGGCTGTCAAACAAGGGACTAACATCTTACAACCTTCAAGTTTGTCATCTTAGCGAGTGCAAAGTTGGGCAGACCTCTTAGGGCAATATCTATACTTGTAAGTGGGCACAGACTCTTCAATAGTGGTCAAGACCAGGTCCAGACCAGCTAGGTCCATGTGTAGTGCTGCAGAGTCTGCACTTTCGCTATTCAAATATTTCCGTATCACATTTCTACATATCCTACCAAAGAGTTGAATGGTCTTCATCTTTGCAAGGAAGGGGGCTTGTGTCCAGGACGTTATCTGCATATCCCACTTGGACTCCTTCCAGAAACTTGCTAGAAACTTGAAGAATGTGTGTGTGTGTGTGTGTGTGTGTGTGTGTGTGTGTGTGTGTGTGTGTGTGTGTGTGTGTGTGTGTGTGTGTGGTGGGGTTTAAGACTAACCACTTGGCTTGGACGGTAGATTGACGGTTTCGCTTCATGCAAGTTAGCGTTCAATCCCCGACCGTCCAAGTGGTTGGGCACCATTCCTTTCCCCCGTCCCATCCCAAATCCTTATCCTGATCCCTTCCTAGTGCTATATAGTCGTAATGCCTTGGCGCTTTCTCCTGATAGCTCCCTTCCCTTCCTCCTTGAGGAGTCCCCAGCTGTGAGATAGTTTTCAATCCATTTCAGCACTTTTTCCTTGACACTCAAGGATGCAAACTCATCTAGGATCACATCTCTTGAGCCTAATCGAAAGCTCTTTTAATGTCGTCGAAGAAAGCGTACTTGGCTCTGTTATTTCCTAAGTAATTGGCTCTACAAGTGACTATGCTCCAGCCTTAAACAAATCCGCTGACCCCAGTCTACGTACTTTGTGTGAGAGAAGCTTTAGGAAGACGCAATGCGTCATCTTGCACGTGCAAGATAGGACCAATTGGCGTGAAATTGTGTGAGCAAGACTCCACTTATGTATGGCTTATTGAAGAGGTGGAGTAGTGAACTCTGTGATAATTCTCCTAGTACTCACCTAGTTGTGCTTGCTGGGGTTGAGCTTCGGCGCTTTGGTCGGGTCCCCGTCTCAACTGTCAATAGTCCTAGTGTGTAGGGAAGGCCGTAATCTCACCAGCCGCAATACTTTTGCGTGTTCTCATCTCCGCCCTTGTCTCGTTTCACTACCCTGATTCTTCCGTCAATGTCCCGCAGGAACTTGCCTCGACGTGTTTCCTCAGGGAGGAAGAGGCTGTGTCACGCCTTATTACCTTACCTCAAGGTAAGGTAACCTCCCCTCGTGTGTCAGTCCGTCAGCCCTGCCCTCGGGGTGTCGGTGCCGTCCTCCGCTCCCTGAGGTATTTGTCTTGAAGACTTTTCTCCTCCGATGGAGCTAGTGAAGTCACGGCATTTACACACTCCTCAATCTTCTCGTCCCGGGCTATTTGACAGTTTTGAAAAGTTTTCGATTTCTCTAAATCTTAGATACTCTTTACTCTCACGCCGAAGGTCTTTATCCAGCGTGTTTATATAGTGGGTTTCATACTATATAGTGTTCTTATATAGTGTAGAGGTAGAACATTTGGTTGACAGGACCCGGGTGCATGTGGGAATTATTTAAAACCCCGGTCTGTGCTTCGGAGAAGCTGCGAGAGCCTTGTGAGGGCAATAGCATTCCAGGTTGCAATTCTTTTAACCATGTTGTGGCGCAGTCGACTAAAACGCGTCTCGGATCATGCCAGACGTAGGTTCGAACCCTCATCATGGCCCTTGTGAATTTGTTCATATAGTGTTCTTCTTTTGAGAGTTGCCCCGTCCCCGTGCGACATGGGACCCGGACACAGCTCTCAGTTTGGCTATCGAGGTCGCCTACGCTCATCGATGTCGTCACGGATTTGATATTCAGTGAACCAGTCGCTCATCCTGTTTATAAAGTAGGGTTTCCTAGCTGCTTAGAGGGATGGTCTTTTTATCGTTTGTGTTTCTCCTATTGTTACTCATGTGGAGGCTGAGGCTGTGTACAATACAACGAGGCTGTGTACTGTAGAGGCAATCTTATCTTGAGATGATTTCAGGGCTTAGCGTCCCCGCGGCCCGGTCCTCGACCAGGGCCTCCTTTTTGTTACACACACCCCAGGAAGCAGCCCGTAGCAGCTGTCTAACTCCCAGGTACCTATTTACTGCTAGCTGAACAGGGACATCAGGGTGAAAGAAACATTTTGCCCATTTGTCTCCGCCTCCACCAGGGATCGAACCCGGAACCTCAGGACTACGAATCCGAATCACTGTCCACTCAGCTGTCAGGCGCCTGGCTGTGTTCAACGTGTGGGCTGCCGTCACTGTCCTGCTCATTTAGTAAAAGTATACAGTGTAGTCTCCCTCCTGTGAGGTGTGTCGCCTGTCTTGTCATCCACCAGTCTGAGATTTTCACTTCCGTCGACTTTCACTTGATTACGGTCAGCAGCACAGTGTGTGTGTGCTTTGCATTCAGGTCGCTGATCAGCGAGATTAGGTCAGCGACTATTAGAAATATTGCCGAAACAACCGCGGACATCTTCAAGAGAAAACTGGACTGTTTTCTAAGAGAAGTTCCGGATCAGCCGGGCTGTTGTGGGTATGTGGGCCTGAGGGCCGCTCCAAGCAACAGCCTGGTGGACCAAACTCTTACAAGTCAAGCCTGGCCTCGGGCCGGGCTTGGGGAGTAGAAGAACTCCCAGAACCCCATCATCCAGGTATCAGGCAGGTTCCTCACTCACCATCTTCTCTCCCTCGTCCCTCATGTTGTTTTTTTTAATTCAGCTACTCTGAACAAAATGTCCACGTAGCACGGGCTATAGTGAACCCGTAATTGAGTTCGGTTATTAGCGATAACCTTATTACTGTGATATTTGGGTCAATGTTTTAAATGGAGGTGGGGTTTCCTCCTTTTTTCCCGTTTCTCTCCCGCTTCTGCTTTAGCGCACTGGTTTTAGTCTTGTTTTAAAAACCTTATCTTGGTGGCGGATATAGATGCACAGTGTTCACCAGTGTGTCCTATTCTTCAACTGTTTTTCTAATCATTGTAGTCGCTGTGCAATTTGCATCTAATGAAGCTGGTGTCGTTGGATTATTGTTGTTTGATGTGCAGGGCTTCTCGTCCCGCATAAGATGTGCATTATATTGAAGCCCCGGTACTTGACAAGGGTGAGGTGTCATGCGTGACAAGACACCATGTTGTCACAGGTGGTACCGGGGGATTGGGAGCGCGTCCCGCCCGGCTCCTGTCACACCACCACCACCACGCACCTTGTTGGGTGTGATGGTTTGATGGAAATGTTCTTCCCATCACAGCGAGTCTCTAAGCTGGCCAGGTCGGGTGCTGGCCAGGCCGGGTGCTGGGCCAGGCCGGGTGCTGGGCCAGGCCGGGTGCTGGCCAGGTCGGGTGCTGGCCAGGTCGGGTGCTGGCCAGGTCGGGTGCTGGCCAGGCCGGGTGCTGGCCAGGCCGGGTGCTGGCCAGGCCGGGTGCTGGCCAGGCCGGGTGCTGGCCAGGTCGGGTGCTGGCCAGGTCGGGTGCTGGCCAGGTCGGATGCTGGCCAGGTCGGGTGATGGCCAGGCCGGGTGCTGGGTGTTGGCCAGGCCGGGTGCTGGCCAGGTGCTGGCCAGGCCGGGTGCTGGCCAGGCCGGGTGCTGGCCAGGTCGGGTGCTGGCCAGGTCGGGTGCTGGCCAGGTCGGATGCTGGCCAGGTCGGGTGATGGCCAGGCCGGGTGCTGGCCAGGCCGGGTGCTGGCCTGGCCGGGTGCTGGCCAGGCCGGGTGTTGGCCAGGCCGGGTGCTGGCCAGGCCGGGTGCTGGCCAGGCCGGGTGCTGGCCTTGTCTATATTCCTCGTCGGCTCTTTCTTACGCCGTACTGCCTCTTACGTACGCCTCGCCCCCTTCTCATATATCAACCCATGCTCCTGTTTACATAGTTTTTGTAACACTGTCCTCATCGTCCTCTTCTATGGTCCTCATCGTTACTGTGAGTACTACCAGAACAGGAGGAGGGGGCTGCATATGGCCTATATTATCATAGAGGCCTCACCGCCGCTGTTATATGTCTCGCCCTCTGCAACAAATGCAGAACATTTATTAAATTTATAGTTATTTGTGTTCCGTATTTTGTAAAATATAAAATAAAAAACGAAAATAAATTATATGTATATAATTTTTTTTTCTTTTGGAGGGGGGCGTAATTTGACAAGAATTGTTGAAAACTATTTTGTTGGCAGTTTTCCCTCGCTTTCTACACAAGCCTTATTTTCTGCCCGCTGTACTTGCACTTTTATTTTCACCATTTGACCAGAAGGTTTTAATTTGGTGCTGCTGGTGTGTGGCTGGCAGACTCTGGCTGCTGGCTGAGGCTGGCAGACTCTGGCTGCTGGCTGAGGCTGGCAGACTCTGGCTGCTGGGTGAGGCTGGCAGACTCTGGCTGCTGGCTGAGGCTGGCAGACTCTGGCTGCTGGCTGAGGCTGGCAGACTCTGGCTGCTGGCTGAGGCTGGCAGACTCTGGCTGCTGGCTGAGGCTGGCAGACTCTGGCTGCTGGCTGAGGCTGGCAGACTCTGGCTGCTGGTGTGAAGCTGGCAGACTCTGGCTGCTGGCTGAGGCTGGCAGACTCTTAAGTTGCTCGCTCGCGCGCCCCGTCTGCTGGCTGAGGCTGGCAGACTCTGGCTGCTGGCTGAGGCTGGCAGACTCTGGCTGCTGGCTGAGGCTGGCAGACTCTGGCTGCTGGCTGAGGCTGGCAGACTCTGGCTGCTGGCTGAGGCTAGCAGACTCCCTGGCTGGCTGCACCTGAGGCTGGCAGAGACTCCCTAGATGGCAGCACCTGGTAGTTACCAGGAGACTCCCTAGATGGCAGCACCTGGTAGTTACCAGGAGACTCCCTAGATGGCAGCACCTGGTAGTTACCAGGAGACTCCCTAGATGGCAGCACCTGGTAGTTACCAGGAGACTCCCTAGATGGCAGCACCTGGCAGTTACCAGGAGACTGGCTAGATGGCAGCACGCGGTAGTTACCAGAAGACTCCCTAGTGGCAGCACCTGGTCCTGGAGACTCCCTAGATGGCAGCACCTGGTATTACCTGGAGACTCACAGTCAGCACCTGTAGTTACCACGCGCGAGCTCCCTAGCTCGCTCGCACCTGGTCCCGTCCCGTGAAGACTTTCTTCACGCCCACCTGAGTTACCTGGAGCAGCTAGAGGCAGCACAGTAGTTACCTGGAGACTCACTAGATGGCAGCACCTGGTAGTTACCTGGAGACTCACTAGATGGCAGCACCTGGTAGTTACCTGGAGACTCACTAGATGGCAGCACCTGGTAGTTACCAGGAGACACTCTAGATGGCAGCACTTGGTAGTTACCTGTGGCCAGATTCACGCAGCAGTTACGCAAGCACTTACGAACCTGTACATCTTTTCTCAATCTTTGGCGGCTTTGTTTACAATTATTAAACAGTTAATGAGCTCCGAAGCCCCAGGAGGCTGTTTATAACAATAACAGTTGACTGGGAAGTTTTCATGCTTGTAAACTGTTTAATAAATGTAACCAAAGCCGTCAAAGATTGAGGAAAGATGTACACGTTCGTAAGTGCTCGCGTAAGTGCTTTCGTGAATCTGGCCCCTGGAGACTCGCTAGATGGCAGCATCTGGTATTGTTCAGTTGTATAGTTCACGTATACTGTTGTTTAGTGTAAGTGTACAGTTGTATAGTTCACGTATACTGTTGTTTAGTGTAAGTGTACAGTTGTATAGTTCACGTATACTGTTGTTTAGTGTAAGTGTACAGTTGTATAGTTCACGTATACTGTTGTTTAGTGTAAGTGTACAGTTGTATAGTTCACGTATACTGTTGTTTAGTGTAAGTGTACAGTTGTATAGTTCACGTATACTGTTGTTTAGTGTAAGTGTTCAGTTGTATAGTTCAGGTGGTTAGACCTTTTTTTTTAGTAACGGTTTTCGACATTTGGTGACTGTGAAGGTGCATTGGTGTGCAACTGTTGTGTTGCAAGCTTGAAAAGTTCACTGAATACCGTATGCACTTGGTGTATTTATATACTGTATGCTTTCATACTGTATACTTACTCATTATTTTTGTTCACTGTATACCTATGTATTAATACATGGTACTTGTACACTATACTTTTAAGTTCATACACTGTACTTTTAAACCAATTCAGTATACTTATACACTAATCTAGATCTACAAGAGAGAATTTATGTTAGCCTGTCTGTTCGAAGTTGGTGGTGAGGGGGGGGGGGAGACGCTCGGGGCTAGACCCACCAAACTTTGCAGGGTGAGTAGTGATTCTATGGGGAGTTTCATAGGGTGGTTTGGGGAGTTCGACGCCCATGCCCCTTTTAAGAAGAATCGACTACTATTCCGAATCCCAGAGACTTGTGAAGTGTGAAAGTTGGGAGCGAGTGTCCATAGAGTGTAAGAGCAGATTTTACTGCTAATATAAAAAAAAAAGTAACGCCATACCTAGAGCTTTGCAATTACTTCGTTCACTCTCGTGTTCATGAAGATATCCTCATATTGCACTCAAAATTTGCCAGTGCAGGCTACTGAACATATGGCCCTGTATGACTAACCATCCTGCGAGTTGGGGACTTTGGTTGGGTGCCAGGGGTCAGTGTGTCCGTGCCAGGGGTCAGTGTGTCCGTGCCAGGGGTCAGTGTGTCCGTGCCAGGGGTCAGTGTGTCCGTGCCAGGGGTCAGTGTGTCCGTGCCAGGGATCAGTGTGTCCGTGCCAGGGGTCAGTGTGTCCGTGCCAGGGGTCAGTGTGTCCGTGCCAGGGGTCAGTGTGTCCGTGCCATGGGTCACTGTGTCCGTGAAGTAGGCCAGGGTCTTGTACACACATGTACAAGACCCGTGTAATATATATGTACCACTGTACACATTGTACGTCGGCGTGTATATCAAGTTATGCCATAATAAACATTAACTTTGACCTATACATGTGTGTGTGTGTGTGTGTGTGTGTGTGTGTGTGTGTGTGTGTGTGTGTGTGTGTGTGTGTGTGTGTGTGTGTGTGTGTGTGTGTGGACAAGTGGGAACACAACACAGGACTCTGCAACACTCAAACCTTCAAGCTAACTTACCGTCCACCAAACAGTGTCTGGATGACGTATAAAATTTCCCATTGTTATATGTAATCTATTGTGTCTATTGTTATCTTTTAAAGCAAATTGCAGTTGTCTTTTCAAGGCGATAATATGTGGAATTTATGTTCTCATCGTGTATATGCGTCTTGTCTCGTGGGGTAATTAGTACACATCCTCTTCTTTTATCTGGCTCCTTATTGGCTGGTATGTTGCGAGTGGCGGATGTTTGCGGCACAGGCTGGAGAATGTGTGTGTGTGTGTGTGTGTGTGTGTGTGTGTGTGTGTGTGTGTGTGTGTGTGTGTGTGTGTATGTGTGTGAGTGTGTGTGTGTGTGTGGCGGGCTGAGGCCCCTCCCGGCCTCCTCCAGGCTGTGGTATCTTGAGGTAATCTTGAGATGATTTCGGGGCTTAGTGTCCCCGCGGCCCGGTCCTCAACTAGGCCTCCCCCCCACCCCAGGAAGCAACTCCCAGGTACCTGTTTACTGCTAGGTAACAGTAGTGGCGGTAACCTGCAGTAGTCGGGGGTTGGCGTCTTACTCATCCGTGGTGGGCCTCCCAAACTGTTTCCTGAGTACTAGAATGTGGGGGATGACTCTCACTCACTCACTCACTCACTCACTCACTCACTCAAACAGAAACTCACTCTCTCTCTCTGAGCGTCGCCAGGCACAACAAGAGGGTAACTGCCATAAGCGTGTGTTATCAGTGTGAACTACAATCACCCTTGCTGACTAGCCTCGTCCAATCCATCACCCACTCAGTCCCAGCCCTCTCCTCGCGCCCTCCCAACTCTTCCAGTCCCACTGGCCGACCGACTACCCCCACTGTCCCAATCCTCTTCCAGTGTCCCAATCCTCTTCCAGTGTCCCAATCTTCCCCAGTGTCCCAATTTCACTCCTGACCTCATCTCAGTCGTACACAGTAATTCCCTCAGCGTGCCATCCCAGAGCATTGCCTCTCTCTGGTTAGTGTTCTATTTCAGTCTCCGAACACAGCATTCCTGTTCCATGGTTGCAGGCGAGCTACTGGCATCATTATTATTGACCCGTTATCTTGAGGTTATCTTGAGATGATTTCGGGGCTTTTAGTGTCCCCGCGGCCCGGTCCTCGACCAGGCCTCCACCCCCAGGAAGCAGCCCGTGACAGCTGACTAACACCCAGGTACCTATTTTACTGCTAGGTAACAGGGGCATAGGGTGAAAGAAACTCTGCTCATTGTTTCTCGCCGGCGCCTGGGATCGAACCCAGGACCACAGGATCACAAGTCCAGCGTGCTGTCCGCTCGGCCGACCGGCTCCATGCCGGTCGGCCGACCCGTATAGACGCCTAACTACCGAACAACACTGAATGAGAGCCAAGCAGAAAATAATTCAGTCAGGTGTTCAAAATGACGTTAATGGTTCATTCCTCGACTTATCTGTCAAATTAGCGAAGATAACTCATTTCCAGACAGCTTGACAGAATTAAAGTTGATGAACCAGGGCAGCTTTTTTCATGAATGGTTTCTAAAACTCCGTACAGTGCAAGTGATGTTAAGACGAGCACAGCAGACATTGACAACACGCCCATGCACCGACGCCTGGGATTCCATATTTATAAAGAAATGTGGAGTACCATTTGCACGAAGGGCAGAGTACCATTTGCACGAAGGGCAGAGTACCATTTGCACGAAGGGCAGAGTACTATTAGCACGAGGGGCAGAGTAACCTTCGAAGTATAATATATACTTGGAAGGTTCTGGAAGACCAGGTCTCAAATTTGCTCAGCAAAATAACAAGATAATGGGGCGGAAGATATAGTAGACATGCACACTAGACCATAGAGGCGCCACGGGCACAGTCCTGGAGCACTGGATGGTCATCAGAGGACCAAGGCGATCTATCCTCCTGCCAACACAAGAAATGTCGCTGGAACAAACGTGGATGTGTCCTAGAAACGATAAAACAGTTTCCTGTAAGAAGTGTCTAAACAAATCTGGTTGTGGTGGGATATGTGGGCCTGCGGGCCGCTCCAAGCAACAGCCTGTTGGACCAAACTCTCACAAGTCAAGCCTGGCCTCGGGCCGGGCTTGGGAAGTAGATCACCCAGAACCCCATCAACCAGGTTCACTAAGGCCTCCCACCACAACAGTTTACCACCCAACCACCAATTACACTATAACCATGAAAATAGTTGAGCACTAAAGTAAACTCTGTGTATATGTGTAGACCGCGAGGTGAGGTATACTTGTATACAACACAGCTGCCGTGTTGACGTTTCGTCACATGCGCCGTGAGGTGAGGCGTAGTGAAGCAAGTCTCACATTACTCGTGTAAATATTAATTACGGTTGCACAATACTAATGTAATTTACACAATACACATGTAATTTTATATACACTATTTTTGTGTTGATACGGGACATGAAACCCGTATTAAGGCACGTCAAGAATGTTTTAATTTTACACTATTCCATTTGCAGAAAATATTTACTTGTGATTGAATGAGAGTGGAGACTCGAAGCATTTACCGTGTTAGTGGGGCGACGCTGTTCAGTCTTGGGAAACCGCTGACCTACCTCGATGGTTTACTGAAGGTTGAGAATGTTCCAGTAATGCTGCAGGCTGACCTTCCAAGTTGTTGTGGTCTCAAGCTAGCCCCCGGAAGGTCTTCCCACATCTCCCAAGTTTCGCTATTAGTTCCCGTTCCAATCCACATCGTATACTCCAGGTATACTCCAGCTGTACTCAGGTATACTCTAGTTATACTCCAGCTGTACTCAGGTATACTCCAGCTATACTCCAGGTGTACTCCAGCTGTGTTCCAGATATACTCCAGATATACTCCTGGTATACTCCAGCTATACTCCTGGTATACTCCAGGTATACTCTAGCTATACTCCAGGTGTACTCCAGCTGTGCTCCAGATATATTCCTGGTATACTCCAGATATACTCCTGATATTGATATATACTCCTGATATACTCCAGGT